AATCCCAACGGATTCCAGTGATACCATTTAGTTTGAGCCTAACTGTTTTATCATACAAATTGGTACAGGCATGTACCAATCCATCTTCTGTGTAACCAACTAATTCCTCCACGGTGTAATCTTCTACACCGAAGATGGCAGTTGAACTGTTTCTGTTTCTGTTTATTGTTTTTTTTCCACACAGTTGAAATAAATTATATAATATAATGGGAAAATATTGTAAAGTATTATTATTTTCTTAAAAAATAGACAGCAATAATAATTAAATATAGGTAAAGTATTGGTGTGAAAGGAAGTCATAATAAGTTATAAAAACTATAAGGCATGACCACCAGATAATCAGTCGCATGCGACGTAGTAGGCCTAATATTATTTATATACATATACATACCGGTACATAGCATACATGCACGTATATACACACAAATACATACATACACACACCAACACACCAACATATAAGGGGGAAAATAAAGTAAAAGACAAAACAGGATACCAGAAACAAAATAAAGAAAGGGACTGGAGGGGGGGGGGGGGGGGTGGTGGTGAACAGGAGATTGAATTCATGGGGACCTTTTTCGATTTGGGGTGGGGCGTTTAGGAACGTACGCACCCACTCATATTAAAATAACATTTTATTTACAGATACACTTTACATAATGTATTGAATTAATCGATCAATCTTATTTTCTTATTCCTATACCTCATGAAAGCATGAATGTCATACAGTTTTCAAAAAGCTGTTTTAATCTAATGAGGTTTAATAGGCCTACTTAACACAGATGCCAAAATAAAAATATTTTTAATGCATTTCTCACTAGTTCAATCTCTTTTTTTTTCAGTGTCTCAGGTCTAATTTACCAATCTATCAAGAAGTGCGAGGTGCATGTGCAATCATTGTCAGCGGAACAAGATGTATATTGAATTGCCGGAACACAATGTACAGTACTATCAACGTCCGAATTTATGTGGTGGTCTGCAAATACTTGTGTATAACACTGGATCATCGGAATTGCATTACATTTGCAAATTATGTTTCTTGTAATCCTCGAACGATATTACATACTTAAATATAATTGGGCCTAAGGATTGTAAATACTGTATATATTACATTATATAAAACTGCAATATTTATGTTTTATTTATACTACGTTTGTATAGTAGCGATGTAACATTTCCGAGTATGTAAGAAATAAAAGTTAACTGCTGTGTAATTTATCATTGTGTGTACTTCCTTTGTCCTAATTGCATTATTTTATTATATTTCATGACATTAATTAGTATATAAATCGCATTAAATACATTATAATCAATTCGAATCGAATATGCCACGATTATAGGCTAATATATCTTATAAACACTATTTCCAAATAATTTTTACATGATACCAACAAATTACGAAATTTTCAGAGCAAGGTGCCGTCGAGTTTTACAAAACAGGAAATGACGTCGGTTGCTAGGCTACAGCTTATGCATATTCAGTAACACCTGTGCTCATTAGACTAACAATAAAAACTTTTAGCTCAGTTTTGACAAAATCGACCAAAAAGATTTTATTGTTAGTCTAATTAGAACAGGTGTTACTGAATATTCATGATTATGCATGAGCTTGTTGCTTAGCAACCACGTCATTTCCGGTTTTATGTTTTTTGGTGAGGATGTTCTCGAAAGGATGTCGAATTTTACAATACCGGAAATGACGTCGGTTGCTAGGTTACAGCTCATGCATATTCAGTAACACCTGTGCTCATTTGACTAACAATAAAAACTTTTAGCTCAGTTTTGACAAAATCGACCAAAAAGATTTTATTGTTAGTCTAATTAGAACAGGTGTTACTGAATATTCATGATTATGCATGAGCTTCCTGCTTAGCAACAACGTCATTTCCGGTTTTATGTTTTTGTTGAGGGCGTCCTCGAAAGGATTTCATCTTGATTTCTTTGCTAGGTTAATAGACGAATGGACAAAGTAGCTAATATTGATGAAGCAATTCTTCACTTTTGGTTTACGCCTATAAAGATATTTTAGCTATTGAATTTATTACAGTAAACACAGACATTGAATAAGATGAGAAGGAATGCATAATTCCATTTTATATTTATTTTCAAGCATTGAAATCTGTATACATTTTATTATATACTGTATATATTATATGTACATTCGGCAAAATCAACAAACCTAATTTGAATCCTCTAAATTATATACATTATTATCTTACATGTCTTACAACAAACAGGTTATTTTCTCTTTTGTTAAAATAAACATTAGCCTACAAGAATGAATACATATTTGCGAGATTTTTCCAGAGGAAAATATTAAAAAGATAAAAAATTCACACTGTATTTGAATTAATTTCATATCCAGAATTTTTGAAGGAAGCTTGATGAGTGACAACATATCCATAAATAATTGGTAAGTTCTGTTGCTCTTTCAAGATTGAGTCCGGACATTCTTTCCTGATATTTGTGGATTCTTTGTCTACCTCACTGGAATAGAAACATATTGAAAACAAATTTAGAAACAGAGAAAGAATTATTACGGAGTATCAAAAACATAATATATAAATAAAAACAAAAATTATATTATAATGTATGGACAATGCTTTCATGCCACGGAATGAATAAGGATTATTAAATACAGTACATACATGGTATTGGGTAGGCGTAAACAGATTAAAATGTGAGCATTCGATTGTCATGGGGAAATTAAATCTATAAAAGTGTACCATTCGATAGAAATTAATATATATAATTAATAAATACAGTATGTTCAAACAATAAACATAATACTATAATTATATCTTCATACAAACATTTTTCATGTTATAATATTTATTGACTGATTGATTGATTCGATGCTCAACATGCACAAGCAAGACAAAAACTGAATTGTCATCAAGAAAAGTAATAAAATCCATAGGTTGGGTTCATGGCAATATCGCCTATGTGCTTTTTGACCACAATTGGATTGGCTATCAAAATGAATTAGTTTGGATACTATTATTTTTTTTGTCGTGGAGTCGGACGATTGGGGTCGATGTTAATTTATGAGCTATGGTAACTCGGGCTACATGAGCAAGTCTATAGTTGCTTTTGAATTTAAAATATAATAATGTTGATAGCTATTTACAACAACCATATGTGCTACTGGGGCCCAGCATACCTTGTACGCAGTACCCGTGAATACAGGGCCACATAGAGAGGGAGTGACGCTCACCCTTGTACAGCTCATGTCTGGTTTTTAAGCTGTATCTGGTTTCCTTAATTTCTTTCTTTCTTTTTTTTTTTGTTCATATTTCGACATTTTTTTGGAGGGGCGCCATGAGCGTTTTCTCTTAACTGATACCGGCGCTTATAATAAATTTTCATTATTATTATTTTAAATATTATTATTATTATTACTATTAGGCCTATTATTATTATTATTATCATATTTTCCTTATTATCATTATTAATATTATTATTATTACTTATTATTATCATATTTTCATTATTATCATTATTAATATTATTATTATTACTATTATTATTATTATTATATTCGACTTCGTTTTGTTGGACTGGGTTGAAAACAAGCTAGACCCGAGACGTCCGAAGGGGGGGGGGAGAGAGGCGAAATTAGGGCCTGCGAAATTGTTGTTTTCTAGACGCTTTTTCTCCCGCCCCATCCCTTCCGGACCTGACAATTGTAAAACACACTAACCCAAAAAGGGGCTAAGATGTGTGTGTGTGGGGGGGGGGGTGTAAAACACACTAACCCAAAAAGGGGCTAAGATGTGTGTGTGTGGGGGGGGGGGCATATAAAAACCGCTACCATCTCTCAAACATAACAGAAATTGAAGGAGGAGTCACGAGGTGGTGCTGAGAGTGTTTATAATGTTTTAAAATGCAAACAAAATTAAACGAACCTCTCGAGCGTGTTGGAGCGATTTCAATCAAATATGGATCCAAATGTTAATACCTCATGGCATATCAACTGCTCTGTATTTTCGAAAAAAAAAAACCAATTTGACAGCTGTAGCCAGTGGCTGATTCAAGAGAGAGTGTGCAACCCGCCCACCTAAATTATTCAAAATTATTTAAAAAATAGAGAAAAAAAAATTAAAATTGCATTCATATTTAAGTCGTTTCCAGCCATCTAGAGTATGGAGCCGTGGGGGTTCCATAATCATAAATCCAATTGTGAAAGTACCACCCTGGATTCCCTCTATTTAGAATTCCTGGATCCGCCACTAATCTATATGTGATATCGACACCATGGAGGTACACATCCATTATTAATATCAATATTGATAAAGACGGTGTCATTTGGGCCTACCTCGATCACTTTCGCTGTCCTTATATATAGAAACTATTTTTGTCGAACAATAACAAATTTCGATTATTCATGATTAAATGTACAGTACTAGATAATGACAAGATTCAATAGAAACTATTTTTGTCGGACAATAACAAATTTCGATTATTCATGATTAAATGTACCAGATAATGACAAGATTCTTGGTAATACATTTCATATCATGTCAATTTAAAAAATAGATACGAATTTACAATATGAAACAACGAACGGAACAAGCCCCAAGCTGTAATAATACTTTCAGTGGCACTTAGAATGCATGTTATTGTTGAATAGAATGCAGCCATGTCAGTGCATGCTTCTGTGTCAAGGAAATTGTCAATGCCTTCAATGCCTAACAAACTTAATCAAAATAATAACCATAGAATGAAGACAGAATTGCCATTTAACTATTGAATTAACGATGCAAAATGGTCTATACCGGTATATTATTGTACTCACGTTTGTTATTAATTGTAAAGCTTCCTTCGTAGTCGTTAACTCCATTCAGTATTGTTTATATGTAAAATGCCACCTGGAGAGGATAAAAAAAACCAATTCATTATTCATTTTCTAATGCGCCATGCCATTCCCCCCGCCGGGGCGTCACCCCTGGACCCCACCAGTGAGCTACTCGGTCGCGCAAGTGCTCCCTCGCGATTCATATTATGGCTGACCCCCCACTTTTGTGACTGCTCCCAGCACCATGTGTGACAAACATTGTTAACGAACACTATACAATGTCAATATTATTATAAATATGTTGATTATTATTATTATTAGTATTATTATTATTATTATTATTATTATTATTATTATTATTATTATTATTATTATTATTATTATTATTATTATTATTATTATTATTATTATTATTATTATTTGTTGGTGCTTAGAGACCTTGTTATCTTCGGCTTATAAATCGACCTATTATTATAGATTTTTGTTTTCATTTTCAAACGAACATTACAAGCTCTCTTTTTTAGTTAAGCAACTAGTGTGCACCATATTGATTGACGTCTGTAAAGCGGGCGTCTGTAAAGTTTCTTGAAACATATATATTCTAGAGCATGAAGAAAACAATGGAATCGCTCGCCCGCCTTGAGAAATTCTGTATTTGGGCACAGGGCGGAGGTAGGCACTATTATGGTGCGACCAGCGTGACCACTGCTTGGATATTTACCCAAGATCTTGGGTAATTTGACTTGGTCTTGGGTTCTTGGGTATTCCGTTCAAATCCTTGGGTATTTTTTTCTTGAAAATTGAATATTTTTGTCATAGAGGAAAAATTAAGAAGTAACAAAGTATATTTCAGTCCATTCAAGTAAGCAAAACTCAACGAAGTGCACATAACATTGTTAATTGACTGTTAATTGCTATAAACATGGGTTCAGAATTGTTTATTTGTGATTTGCATTGCCATTGATCTTAATTAATGCATTACATAATAAAACTTGAACACTGATAACACTGGCCGACTGAGGGCGTATTTTTCTATCTGTATTATCACCTCATGAATATTAATTTTAATAATTAACACAAACAATTACAATAAAAAATGGTTTATAAATTGAACTAAAAGGGAAACTATACATGCGAAAAACACGTACGTATTTTTCAAATTTTAATGCATTTTCAGGAAGCTTGGGTAATTTTGGGCAATTTTTGTTGAATCTTGGGTAATTTCGACCCAGTCATTGGGTATATCAAAAATTGTGAGTGGTCACGCTGGGTGCGACGCTCTAGTTCTGTTTATGTAAACGATGAAGATGTAAGTGTAACTGATTAGCTTACAGTAAACCATCAAACTAACGTAATATTAACACATTTAAATTCTATCTAACTTAACGAAAACACCAAGATAGGCCTACTTAATTAGGTCATTATTGAAATAAAGTTCTTTGAAGTTTACTACAGAATTTATACATTGTAATTAATGTATCATAGGTTGTAAAAACTGTAGTAAACAACTTTACGCTTGATATTACGAATTAGTCTTTGTGTAACGAAATGATAGGTTAAGTGTTATATTAAAGCCGGCACGGACTCCCACCCTCCTATTTTTTTTCAAAATTATTTAAAAAAAAAAGAAAACAGAAAATTATATTCAAATTTGAATCTGAGAGTGCCATTTCAGGCCATCTAGGTGCCATAACCACCATTTTTTCTTGCCCCGGCAACAACCATAGTGAAGCTGAGGAGGGTGTACACTTTATATGTGCAATCCCACCCTGGACCACCTCTAGGCTCGACTTCCTGGAACCGCCACTGCTGAAGTACCATTCCGGCCTCCTAAAAGGGTAATATTTTCCTCGGGAATACCATCAAGGATACCACCCCCACATGATGAATAAATTAATTTTGATCGTGCAGAAGCAATCTCGACTTGGACTTACTTCGAAAAATACAAATTATAGTCATATTACAGTAGCTTGATGCTTATAAAATAACTAATACCAATACTAATTTACCAAACTTCGTCAAATATCCTTAGCTTCCAAGTGGGCTTCCACCGGGGGCCCTTGGTGGCCCCTTGGATCCCAGCCTAGATGCACGCTTTGCTCGTACACTGGATTTATTACCCCCACACACTTTCAAAAACGTTCCGCCACCGTTGTTAGCAGCTGCTATTTCCGGGCATTCAAAAAGAGGTGCCAAAAACCCAGACCCCACTAACTTCAAATCCTCTACCTGTAGCAGGTTTGTTTAACAGCCAAATATGTTTATCCCTCCCCGCCCCGCTCTTATTATGATGGCTTCCGACGCAGTGTGAGCATTTCAGTCAGTTGTATGAGAGAAAGTGCCTAGTCTAATGGGTATGATACTCGCCTTGAAAGCGATAGGTTGCAGGTTCTAATCCCACCACACTTTTTTTTACAGTGGCATATCTAGTGGGGTGCTCTTATACACATCTTCAGTGCATGCAGTCATCATGTTCATTACTTTTTACGCCTCGATCCTCGGGAATTTTTTAGGCTACGGTATCCACATCACCTCAGGGCAAGATTTCACCATTCCCCTCATGAGCAAGTTACTATTTGTATAATATGTAATAGACCCCTAATAGGTAATAGATATAAATAATATAATGTATAAATAATACTGTAGATAATTGATAGGATAATTTACAAGAGATTAATAGGTAATATATTAAGCATGTGACTTTTTATTATTTTAAGAGGATGAAGAAATTATGTTTGAGTAAAGGGGTTGTTTCACACGAAAAGATAAAAAAGTGCTAAAAACACAAAGGTATTTGAAATAAAAAGAAACATTGTATTACTTTGATTTTATGAAGATGATATTGAATAAAGGTGGTGTTTACACCACGAAAGAGAAAAAAATTGATAATAGGTAAAAGATAATAAATAATAGATATATAATAGATCATAAATAGATAAGTTTCCTAATAGATTATAGACAGGCCCAAATAAATAATCCCATAATAGATAATATCTAACATAGGTAATAGATAATATGTATTAGATCAATCAGGATTGTTTAGTTTAAACATTCACATGTACAATTTGTAGTTTAAAACTACAAATTTGTAATATTTGTTGTTGCATTTTGTGTTGTACTTCATACAGCAAAAAAAAATAATATTTAGTTTTACATACTTTTTTTAAATGAAAGTGGAAAACTGTAAATTGTTACAAAACAATAATTAACGATGAGTCTATTCCATTCTTCGGGTATTTGTAGAGCGCCTTTTTGCAAATATAAAGTAGGCACAATTAATAATTGTGAAGCTGGAAAACTAAATCAATCACGGGTTTGTGAGTAGTAGGCCTACTAAATATCTTGCAATAACAATAATGTTTGATGTTATTATAAATGTTCAAACATTATACATGTAGAAGACACAAAAGTAGAGCATAAACAAAAACTTTGTTTCGGAATACTTTAATGATCCTTAACACCACTCAATCCTTAAACTCACTCTCTCTAACCTTGTTCCTGAAGAACATAGTTCTGCCCTCTATCGGGCGTACAGTCAACGGGATGACATAGATGATGATGGTCTTAATATTCTACTTTAAATCACTATTCTACAAAACTTAGCTTGAATCTACCAATTAAGTACGAATTAAAATAAAATGCATACCACAATGCTGACTGTATATCTACCCTAGATTCCAGCCGAAATTTGTATTTATCCTCAAGAACGGATCCATCAATGAGCAAACCGAGTCTCTGTACGCTCGTTGGTGGCACAGTCCAAATAAACTTCGGATAAGTTTAATGTATACATAACTTTTAGGGTAGTCTTTAAAAACAGATGCGTTTGCTACTATTAGCATTTCAGGAAGAAAAAGCTGGAAGACAATTCTGGGTTTTTATACAACATATACATAATTATGGGGAAAACTATAATTTATGCAAAAGGCCAAAAACTAATAGATCATATCTAAAAAAAAAAAACATACTATACAACATGAAAGACAGACAACAATATTGCTACTGCAAACTATAATAATATTCCTTATGTATGTATCTTGAAAAAAATATTTATCGTCTAGATACAGAATCATATATGCAGATTTTTTTCACTTTAAATCTTTCCCAACTTGTTGAAAACAGAAAAAAAAACTTTAAAATTTAAGAAAAACATAGATTCATACTTAGGTAGCTATAGATAGTATATGATGTCATGATTAATAATTAATACCTGTAAACAATCACCCTCTAAGAAAAAGTGCTTGTAGATTTAAAGAAAACATACTAAGAGAATCATAGTTATATTGGGACTGTTCTTTTATACAAAAAATAATCCTAATTTTACAAAACACAACCACACATATACATGCTCCATAATACATACATAACCAATGTACAAACAAAACTGTACACATATATGTATATGTATATATACACATATACATATGTATAGATGTATGCTTTCATGTATACACAACACATAATATGTAAACAAATGCATAATGTATATTTTTATATTTTATATCACATACAAACATACATATACATATTATATGTACTTAAAAATGGTATGTACTTCAAAATGAAAATTACTGTAATACATTGTCTATAAATACATCCTACTTTTAGGACCCTGTTACCATTAATTTATAACATACATTGCGTGCTTAAAATATACTGTACACTCTTAATTATATTCGATAAGGTTGCATTTTGGAGAAGAAAATCTCCGGAAAAAATATGGAAAACATGGAAATTTTGAACTATGTAAATGATTACAGTTTTTCTGATGTACCTTGTTATTTTCATTACAATCCTTAATTAATTCACTGGAGAGTACAATATTATAAAATATATGCATTTTATTAATTGGAAGTTTTTGTTAAATTGAAGACATATGTTAGACACTGTGAGCTCTATATAATGCACATTGCATTGCTGTAAATGGCATCATTCTATGAGTACATATGATTTGACTTTTTTCAACATGACAAAAATAAAGTTCAATTGATCACAAAATATCATTTCTCAGTTCAACTAGTACTATATTTTGTTTTCATGGCTTTTAATATATTTTACCTGGTAGCTATTTTTAAAATTCCAGCACCATCCTCTCTTATTTAAGTATAGACATTGTAAAAGTGGGTGGAACAGTTTATTGGTTGTCAACAATAATGGAAGAAAAACAATCCAAGCTAAAAAAATCCAAGCTATAAACATTGCAAAAGTAGTTGGAAGGAACAATTGCAAAATTATCCAGTTATTGGGAAACAGCACTCATTATTTTTCTTTCTATGTCATCTATTTTTTATGTATGAATGTAAAAAATGTAAAAAAGAAATTACCCAATATTAAAGCTTTTGAAGCGATATAAAACACAAAACAGAAAATTTTAGAGATGCTAAATATGCAAATATAAAAAATATAACCACTTTGGTACTTTAACATAAAAAAACAACCCCAGCAGATAGTTCAAATAATGGATTTGAATTAAATTGACTTACAAATCATTGATTATGAGATACTACTACATCGGTCGGACTAACTGTTAACAGCATTATCCTTAATAAAAATATTTTTAGAAAAAAAAAAGAGAAATGAAAAATCCATTGTTTTGGAATGTTTATAATCATATAATCGAAAAATCCTGATGATTATAATTTTGTAGTAGTTTTTAATTTGTAGCACACATATCTGTTTAATAATTGTTCTCTGAAAATGGAGTTTCAAAATTTTAAAATAAATTGTTTTCCAGAAGATGGACAATATCATGTTTAGAGTTTTAAAATTATTACAAAAATGGAATGTATCTAATTACAGAACATGAATTGTCCAGAAATTTAAGAAATTTTATTAAAATGACTCAATTATTCTCATACTACCCTTTTTGTAAACTTAATTACGGTAGCTGCCAAGAATTAAGTAAAGTGAGAATATCAGATCATATGCACATTTAACGTACAAATTACCAACAATTTCTGAATTTGAAGTGCAATTTAGATCTATCATAATCCCAAACCTCCTGTTGTCGACAATTTCTTTTTTCCAACACGCACTATTCTTCTAGCTACCAGGTATGTGATATAGTTCAATATATATAGCCATGTACTTGAATGTTAAAGTTGATAGCACCAGTTGCCAGCTACCCCGAGAAGGACATATCAAAATCATCGACAATTAGCGGTTGACCATCATCCTCTATATCATCAATAAGATGTTTCTTTTCATCTAAACTTAATTGAGAGCCACTGTTTCGATCATTGTAAAGAGATCCATAAGCTGGGTTTGAAAAATTACTTGTCTGGGGGGAAAAAATAGAAAAATCATCATAATCAATACAAATAATTTACATTTTAACGAGATTTGTTTCATTGATAACGGTACTCATAATAATAGGTTGATCTATAAGGCGCAAATAAACAAGGGCTCTAAGCAACAGGTCCAGGG